TTTGTATTAGGTTTTAAATAGTGAGATCTCGAGTATGTATAAGGAGCTCTTTTGGACTTTTCACAAAGTTTGTAAATTCCTGCTTGTTATTTAACCCAGAGCATTATGATGAGAGTTTATATGAGAAATTCAAGTAGAGTCCACTACTGAGCAGCAGATCACATCCCTAAAGCTTAAGAAAATTGTAGTTTAAGACAGTAATTTGTAAATAACATTTTAAATGGTCAATCTTGAGTTTTGTGAAAGATTGCACACGTTAAATATGAACACTTTTTATTCTTTAGACCTTAAAATTATGGTGGCGCCGAACCGGTTTGGCTCAGTGGATAGAGCGTTGGCCTTTGGACTCAAGGGTCCCAGGTTGATTTCCGTCAAGGGCATGTACCTTGGTTGTAGGCACATCCCCAGTAGGGGGCGTGCAGGAGGCAGCTGATCAATCTCTCTCATCGATGTTTCTAACTCTCTGTCCCTCTTCCTTCTTCTCTGTAAAAAATCAATAAAATATATATTTTTTTAAAAAAGAAACTACCATTAAAAAAAAATTATGGGGGCTAATTCCCCCGGTTTGCCTAGACTAGGAGTATCTTCAGATGCAGAGCTTTCAGCACTCACATCAGGATAGTTCCAGAAAAACAGATAACTGGTCACCCAGGACTGGCCTGGTGAGAACTCAAAACCAAGCCAGGGGAGCACTCTGATGCTGACAGCAGAGCCAGGTGCTCCCCGTCACTGGCAGAAAGCTACTGTTACAAGCTTCCTGAAGGGTCGTTGGGACTTCACTATCCCTTTGGTCTCCTTCACACCCAAGATTCCATAATTCCTACTCTTTGTTTCTCTGCGCCAAGGGTCTTTAAAGAAACTAGAGGAATCCCCAACAATGACCTATTTTGAGGCCTGTGATGTAAAGACTTATTAAGCCACTAACTCATACTAATACAGACTTTTCAAAGATATTTCCCCAAAGAAACACACTCACCTAGAGACACTCGCACCCTCTTTTCTTTGCCATACTTTCCTCTCCTTTTCCCTCCAGGACTTACAGATTTAAGCCTGACTTGCTACTGGTCTTCAGTAGGTAAGCCTTAGCACTCTGAACGGCAATCTCAAGCATGCTGGGGGCCGCTTGAGGCTCCGGCTCAGGCTCAGGCTCAGACTCAGGCTCAGCCTCATCCTCATCCAGATGACGTTTACTGTCTGAGTCTTCCTCCTGAGAAATGTCACATCTCAGGTCTTCCTGTTTAGAGTTGTTATAGTTCGCGTCCCTCGGCTCATACAGGTGACCGTCGGTTTGCTGAAGCTGTTGAAAGGCGTTCCCCTTTGACTGGCCTGTTTGATGAGGCGTTGATTCTCCTTCATCAGGTGATTGTTGCAAGTGGTCAGGGTGAGGTGCCCCAGCTTCAGGAATCCCCCTCGCGGTCTTGTCTGAGCGCCATGGTGCAGCGAGGTGCTGTCCCGACAGAGCCAGAGGAGGAGGGGAGGAGGGCTCCCGAGGAGGCGCAGATGGCGATGCACCTGGTCCCGCGAGGTCATCCACAGGTGGGCTGCCTCTAGACGGCGGGCCCCGAGGTGGGCTGCCTCTAGACGGCGGGCCCCGAGGTGGGCTGCTCCCGGGCGGGCTCGTCTCCCCGGGCGGGCTCCCAGGGGGGCTGCTCCCGGGCTGGGGTCCAGTGTCAGGCCCCTGCTCTGACTCCGGGTGTTCAGATAATCCAGGCTGAGGATCTTGGGTAGAAGCTGCTGTCATTTCGTCCCACGGCCTCCCTTCTTCCCCCGATTCCTGGTTTTCTTTTTCTTGCTCCAGGGCACTGGAGTCTTCCATAGAAGGAACCAAGAAAAAAACCAAAAACTTCTGGATGAAAGGGATTGTGCAGATGTGGAAAGAGTCTGCGCAGGAC